AAGAAAGGGCTCCACCGAGGGAGCCCTCCATTAACAAGCAAGACCAGGAAAAGCTAGCAGCAGGGCTGAAGGGTGAGGGAAGGTTTCTGGGAGCAGGACAGGAGCCGGCCACAGATGTCACACAGGGATTGGTCTGTGTGGCTTGTAGCTGTTGCCATGTTGTAAGGATGTATTCATGGCCCTGTATAGTGAGGCATTCTCCCAAACAAAATAAATGTCAATAACTTTATAACTTTTTATGACATACTTTATACTTTATGCAGATACTGAGCATGGTGTTCCAAGAAATAACTTTTGGGAGCAAAATAAGTTCATTAATTGTTGATTTTGAATTGTGATTTTTTGTGTGTGTAATACTGTTAAACTTGCTGGGTTAAATTTGAATGTTAAATTATTTAAAATCATGGGATTTTACAACATTTGGATATCTGCTATAGGTTACAGTCCTTTATAAAGACTACTAAACTGTTATTTCTTATTTATTGAAAATATTTTAATAAATCCATGATAATGAGTAAAGAATTTCTGATGTTTCACTTCCAAGTCCCAAAGATTCATATTTTTTGAGAATTCAGAAACACCACAATGAATGAGAGTCTGTTTTGAAACTTTGCCTAGGGTCAGTCTTTTTCCTGCAGGAAAAATACTGGTCTCTAAGCGGCACAGTTCCTACAGGGAAGCAAAGTTACTTAGTAAATTCACAGGCTAAAGAAGCCGCAGGGATTTGCTCTTATTTTGTCTTATCTCCCATGTTCTCAATTTCATCAAGAATCATCATTGTACCTTTGTCTTGGCCGAGAAGTCAGCTCATATGCTTAAGGAGGCTTCAATGAATGTGGCAACCTGAGCTGCTGTTTGGTCTGGAACCACAGGTCTTGTTAACTACTGTGAGGCCCAAAGAACCCAGGGCGACATCATAGCCGCACGTGTCAACTGCATGTTTTCCAGCCCAGCCCAGTTCAGATGGAACAAGATGTGATCAAACACAGCAAGTTCTCAAAGTACAGTGATTGCTTCTCTGAGAATAAATTATTTTTATCGCCATATCAGAGATAATTGAGCCTGCTTTCTGGTTCTGGGAGGCTGGCCAGCAGAGACAGGGCATGAATGAAATTCATCAGGCACAGGCTTAACTTCTCACTTCAACTCATGTCCTTTGAAGTCAGAAGGAAAAAACTCATCCCCTTACACTTTACGGAGAATGATTCACAGTGGTCAATCGCTGTTCCACTCACATTTTTGTATGTGGCCAGAGGAGGAGAGAATTAAAATTAAATATTCATTTTAGATTAAATGTACTACTCATTCTGATGTAACAAACATTTTTGTATGTGGCTTGTGATGTTATGATTTATAACAAATATGTATTTGGTCTTTGTCCCTGTCTCTGGCACAGAGCTCCTAAAACCCTTCAAATGTCTTAAGAGCGATAAAGCTGTCTTGATATTCACAACAGACCCCTTTTAATCACACATGAATTTATTATGTTAAGTAGGTGACTTTTAGAAAGCTCCCAAAATGGGGGCTGGTTGCCAGAGGAACCAACCATGTGATTGGAAGTTTGGAACTTTTAGTCCCATCCACCTGACCTCTGAGGAGGGGAGAGGGGCTGGAGGTTGAATAAATCACCAATGGCCAATGATTTAATCCAGTGATTTTCAGCATTTTTACCTTACGGCACACAAACTAATTACTAAAATTCTTTGGCACACCAAAAAATAGGTATAATCTTGATTCATTCACACTGACAGCTCTTGTTGTGTTGGCTGTTGTCATTTTTTAATCTCACAATCTAAGGGAAAAGAGGTCAGTACCCCTGACTAAATAGTCAATTATTGCATGTTTCAAAATTTCTTGTGGCACACCAGTTGAAAATTGTTGATTTAATCAGCCATGTCTATGTAATGGAGCCTCCCTAATCACCCAAGAGGAGGGCGTTTGGAAAGCTTCACCTGCCACCATGCTAGGGCCCAGGCTCCATAAAGACAGAATCTCCTTTGTTTGGTACCTCGCAATATGTATCTCTTCATCTGGCTGTTGATTCATATCCTTTGTAATAAATTGGTAATCTAGTGAATAAATGGTCCCCTGAGTTCTGTGAGTCACACCAGCACATTAATCAAACCTATGAAAGGGGTTGTGCGAACCTTTGATTTATAGCCAGTTGGTCAGAGGCAAAGGTAACAATCTGGAATTGGGATTGATTTCTGAAGTGGAGGGCAGAGGAGGTGATGGGACTGAGCCCTCTACCTACAGGATCTGATGCTATCTCCAGGTAGATAGTGTCAGAATTGAGTGGAATTGTAGGACACCCAGCTGATGTCTAAGAATTGTTTGGTGGTGAGGGGACCACCCTCCCACATCCCCAAATACACTGGAATTGGGTGATCAGAATTGTTACGGTCAGATGAGGGAAGAAGTAAAATTGAAATTTAATTTTATATTAAACAGACCACTCATTCTGATGTCACAAACATGCTCTGAACTGCTAATTAGATATTCAGGTAGATGTAGATGTAAATGTAGATGATGGACATGGTGAAGTAGGTGATGTGGTTGATATAGATCCTGTATATTGCTGTAGCTGTGGCTGTTGGTGACACAGATGTAAAAGCAAATGTAGATGATGTAGACCTAAATACAGATGTAAGTAGATATCAATATAGATGCAGATGTGCATGTCATAGTTGTAAACATGGATGCAAGTGGTATGGATGATATTGATTAGGGTTTCTCAATTTCAGCACTATTGATAATTTGGGCTAGATCATTCTTTGCTGTCAGGGGCTGTCCTGTGCATTTTCCTAGATGCCAAGGGCACTCTCTGCACCACAAGTTGTGACAATAAAAAAATGTTTCTGGATGTTGCCGATGTCCAGGTGTAGATGATTGAAGAGTACATACAATCATATAGCTCTAAACATAGATATCGATGACATACTTGATATAGATAATGTAGATGGTATAAGTGTCAGTTTTATGATCTGGGCAGGAAACTGTAGATGTTAATGATGCAGATGACATAGATTAGGTGTCGGTTATGAAATAGGTATCTAGACAGATCAATATGAAAATAATTTTCTTAACTTAAATTTAAGTTCTTTGACGGTAGGAACCATGACTCCATAGTCATATCTCTCAGAGCAATTTAGAAGTATTCTTTAATGATCTGTTGGTTATTTAATTAGTTCTACCTCTTAAGAGCCAATAAAGTTATCTTTTGTATTTCAAGTATGTTTTCTATTAAGAAAAGAGATTGTCTTAGGAATGTTTGTGGTAATTTAAAATTTCAAGTTATATATGTATGTAGGTAGATATTTAATACACTTAAAACCTATCCTGCATATATTTCCCCAACATTTTATTATGAAAAATGTCAAATATGCAGAAAACTTGATAAAAATTTACAAGTAAGACCTGCATACCTACCAGATTTTACCATTAACATCTACCATTAGCTCTTGAATATCCATCTACCCACCATCTATCCCTTCATCAATCAACCTTATTTGTTAATGGGCATTGTTGAACTTGCATGCTGAGTTGTGTGTTTGCATTGGTCCATAACTGATTGGAAACTAAATAAGGGTCCTTCACTACTGATCACTGAAGAAGCAATGCTTTAGCACACACACACACACACACACACACACACACACAAAGGAGAGTGAGGGGAACAATAGAAAGAATGGCAGAAAGCTGACTGCTATTGAACCTAGGTAATGGGCAGGTAGCACAATTCTCTCTTCTTTTATGAAGGTTTTAAAATCCACATCCTTTGGTTTATTAAAAAGTAAAAAAAACAAACAAACAAAAAAACCTCAGCCTGTTTATGGAGATATTTTAAATATACACATTTTCAATGCATATATTTATAGCTAAACATAAAGTGTATGTATGTGTGTGTATGTGTGTGTGTCGAATAAAATAATATAGAAATGATACATAGAATACATAGTTCACACAGGGATTTTATGTAATGGTTCAAGTAAAACTTTACAGAAGTCTTAGGTGGGTAAACAAACAGAAAGTAACTTCCTGGATCATGAGCTCGGTGAGCTTTTATTACATAATAAATTCTGCTTATGTAATAAACTCTTTGAGGTCAAGGATCCTGTGAGATACCACTTCTGTGTCTCCACAGCACTTAATCCAGGGTACTGCAGAGTAAATGGTACTTAATAAACATTGGCTGATGGGCCACACTCAGGAAATGAATTGTGACGAACAGTAGTTTAATTCTCCATGCAATAACGCCACACCGCTCAATCAACTGGAAAATCAGTTTCCTGAATCCGCCCTCATGGAGATTTGCACAGAATGTTTGAGCCTGAGGGAGACTTGGAGCTTTGCTAACGTCCTCATTTTGCAGAAGGAAATGAGGCCCAGAGGGATTATATGAGCCTCACTGAACATCCCACTTGTTAATGGCCGAGTTGTTGCCTCTGACGCCTACACTTGGACTCTTGCTTTTGCCGTGATGTCTCTCAGAAGGTACAATTCCACCTCCCACCCCCACCCCTTGCTCCTGGCTTAAAATTCATGGCTTCATTTACAGGAAAGAGCAAGAACTTGACAAGCTGGCTCTACCAGGAGGCTGAACAGGAGACATGACTGCAGAACAGCTCATGATCAGTGTTTGCCCAGCACTGTTCTGTGCTGAGCCTGGGGAAGATAAGCGCTCTGTCCATTGGAAGGAAGATGGACACATGTTAATAGAGGATGGTCCTGCTGTGTAGGATTAAAGCATAAATCAGTAGAGCAGAGCCGTGGGGGCTGGAGAAAGGATGGAATGTTTTGGAGGCCATAGAGCAGCGGTTCTCAACCTGTGGTTCGCGACCCCTTTGGGGGTCGAACGACCCTTTCACAGGGGTCGCCTAAGACCATCGGAAAACACATATATAGTTACATATTGTTTTTGTGATTAATCACTATGCTTTCATTATGTTCAATTTGTAACAATGACATTGGGGGTCACCACAACATGAGGAACTGCATTAGGAAGGTTGACAACCACTGCCATAGAGCTTGGATATAAGGTTCTAGGACTGAGGAGGGGGCAGGACAGCCAGGTTAGAATAGTGTGGACCTGGTCTGTGCTTCACCCTGCGGGTGTTAAGGAGCTGGGGAGGTTTCTGTGGGGAACGGGATGGGATCCAGTACTGACTGGATTTAGGAAGACCAGTGTGTGAGAGAGGCTGGCAGCAGGGAGAACCTTGAGGAGGGCTTTCCGGAGATGAAAGCTTGGAGCAGGTGACAGCAATGGCAAGAGGAAGAAAACGGCAGATGTAAAAATGGTTTGCTCGGGCCAATGTTTCTCAAAAAGCAATGAGAGAATAAGGCCCGGGGGCTGCAAACAGGCAAACACGCCTGAGTCTGGTCCACAGGCTTCTTGGACTAGAGAATCATTTCTCCCCAAGGGCTGCCGTTTGGATCACCATAGCCTGTTCTTTCTCTGAACTTGAACTTGTTGGGAACATTGAGTTCTCTGACCCATAGGGAGAGTGATGTTCCCCTGGAGAAGAAAGTGGAGGGAGGCGCCATTGCAACGTGACCTGAGAGAGTGGAAATAGAGGGAGGAAAAGATGATTAAAATACCAACAGTGTCATCTGCAACTTTTATAGTCTTATTTTTTACATTTAGGCCTTTAATCCATCTGGAATCTGTGTTTGTGTATAGTGTGATGTGAGGATCTGTTGATTGAATATTTAGGAATTCAAACTTTACGAGTATTTTGAAATGTTACCCTGAACACATACTAAATTTCCATGAATATTTTCTTATTCTCTTGCTTAAAAATCCAGAAATCATTTCCTAAGGCCTTTAGAATAAAATTCAAATTCCTTGCCCTGGCTTAAAAGGCCCTCACCTGCTTCTGAAATTCACCTGCTATTCTGCCCCTGTGTGCTGTGCCCCAAACACGGGACTTCCTTCTGTCCAGCTTGAGCTCATTTCAGGCTGAGTTTCGCACCAGCTCTGCAAATGCTCCTTCCTCTTCCCGATGCTCCACTCCAGCCTTTGTGCAGCTGGTTCTTGTGAGTCCTGCAGCTCTCGGCTCAAAGGCTAGTTCTTCAGTCTTTCTCAGACCACCCAGCCTAAAGCGCCCACCCAGGCACTAACCATCTCATCCTTGGCGACCCCAGAGCATCTAGAATTCATTTTGATATCAGGAGTGAGGTGAGGAGTCAGGCTTTTTTACTCTCCCCTTCCAGTGTGGGAAGCCAGTTACTTTAAGACCATTTGAGAAAGAAAAGGAAAGGAAAGGAAAGGAAAGGAAAGGAAAGGAAAGGAAAGGAAAGGAAAGAAAAGAAAAGAGACCATTTGCTAAAAAACTTAAAAGGAAAGGAAAGAAAAGAAAAGAAAAGAAAAAAGGAAATAGACCATTTGCTAAAAAACTTCATCTTTTCATTATGCATTTGAAATGCTAGCTTCATCATATACTCAGTTTCTCTTACATTCATATCTATTTATGGACTGAACTCTTTTTCTTTTCTGTTTTATTGCTGCTTTAATTATTGTAGAGTTAAATGTTTTCATATTTGATAAGGCTAGACCCTGCTTTTTAATCTTCTGGCCATGCATGCATGCTTTGCTTTTAAAAAAGATTTGCACTATGGGTGCAAGGTAAAGAGAGGCAAAGCTAGATGTGGGTTCATCTGATGGAAGTTTCTCACAGCATTCCCGGAGAGAGATGGGGAGAGACATAGAATAGCTTGCCTAACCCATTGTATTCTGAATTTCAGTCATTTCCAGTATACCACTTTTATAATTTTTGACACACCTATATGTCACCTGAGCTATAATTAATTTAACACTTTCAATAGTTCAATTCACTTTTATATTTTAAATATTTATATTAGGCTTATCCTCTGTAATATCTGTAGAAGCATAGATTAGACATAGTAGTTATATTTCTCTAATATATTAAACTGAATGGACAACAATGAAAATAAACATTGTTTGTGCATAGACATTGTTTTGTGTACTACCAGCAGTTTGAGAAACACTGGTCTGAGCAAACCAGTCTCCTCAGTTTTCCAGATGAAAATTTCCACTCAGAAGGGGCCACAGGGACTAGCTGCTCACAGCTGTCGATTGCATAGGTGGGTTCAGTCTATGAAAATCATCAAGATGTTTACTTATAAACACTTTATATAAGATTATTGTAACCCAATAAAAAGTTTTCCAACTAAGCTTTAAAGTTTTGAAAGTATTACTGTGTTGTTTTGTGTTAATAAGATATATTACATGTGGTCCGGTCGGTATGGCTCAGTGGTTGAGTGTGGACCCATGAACCTGGAGGGGATGGTTTGATTCCTGGTCAGGACACATACAGGGATTTTGGGTCGAATCCCCAGTGGGAGGCATGCAGGAGGCAGTTGATCAATAATTCTCTCTCATCATTGATGTTTCTATCTCTCTATCCCTCTCCCTTCCTCTCTCCAATCAATAAAAACGTAATTTAAAAAAAATCCATTACATGTGCCCTTACATAGGTCGAGCAAAGAAATAGACTAATGAAGTGAATAATAGTTTCATGAAGTTAAAACATGGCAGCAGTTCTCTTCTCTGGCGTTCCTGCAAGCAGATCCATCCTCCCCAAGACCAAAGGGCCACAGGTGGTATCACAGGCCAGACAGAACCGTGGTAGGATGGTAATATGTCAGTGAGTGATGTGTAGGGCAGAATTAAATAATAATGCCAAGGGTCAGAGCCTCAATGTCGTTTCTTCTTAGTCTTTATTGAAGGTAAACAGAGACAAATGGAAAATGCCATCCTGACCCATGGAGATCAACAAATTAAGGCACGAGATTGCAGGGAATCAGATATCTTGTTCTGACCTGTCACAAGCACTTACTCAGATACAAACAAGAACAGGCCACACTCCTTTTTTTACCATCAGGTACTTCTGGCTTTTAGACTTGTTAATTCTCTGCTTTTAGAGTCTAACCGCTGGCTGAGAGCCCACAGCACTGATGAAGTTAACAAAATTATTGACACGAAAATCTCACTGCCCGAGAGAAGCTGCTGCCGCCGGGCACGGAGAGTCAAATAGCTTATATCTTTTGTCCTTTAAAAACCGTATAAAAGAGCAGCTTGGGAGGCAGGAGACCGGGCAGCGGCCTGGCAGCCCAGGTTCGCCCAGACACTAGGCGCCCAGGCCCTCAGGCACCCAGCACGCGCCCAGCCCGCCTCCACGATGCCCAACAGGAAGGTCAGCCCTGAGGAGGGGGCGGCCAAGGAGGAGCCCCCGAGAAGGTCGGCCAGGTTGTCAGCCAAACCTGCTCCTGCAAAAGTGGAAACGAAGCCCAAAAAGGCGGCAGGAAAGGATAAATCTGGAGACAAAAAAGTGCAACCCAAAGGGGAGAGGGGAGCAAAGGGAAAGCAGGCCCAAGTGGCTGACCAGGAACCTAAAGATCTACCTGCGGAAAACGGAGAAACTAAACACGAGGAGAGGCCAACCTCAGATGAAGCAGGAGAGAAAGAAGCCAAGTCTGATTAATATCATATATCATGTCTGATCAGTGGTCCCTGTCTCCCTTCTTATACAATCCAGAGGAATATTTTTATCAACTGTTTTGTAAATGCAAGTTTTTCAGTAGCTCTAGAAATGTTTTTAAAGAGGAGGGAATTCCACCTCATCCCATTTTTTAAAAAGTGTAAATACTTTTTTTTTTTAAAGAGGTGAAATCATTTGCTGGTTGTTTATTTATTTTTTTTTTGGTACAATCAGAAAATAGTGGGATACTGAATATGGGAGACTTTGATTGTCTTGGGTGTCAGCTTAACATTCCATTGATGGTGGTAGTTTTTATATCCTATAATACAAAGCATACTCACTGGCAATTTGGAGTCAGTCATGCATTTGCTATGTCTTGAACATTTTAAATTACTTCTATTCACATGTTTTTTGGTAGCATTGTTTCCTAAAGAAAACCACTCCTTGATCTTGGCTCTCCCTGCCAGAATTCTGTGCATCTGTAACATCTTTGGTGGTAGCCCAGTTTTCCTAGTAACTTTGTCAGTGTGCTGTGAAAGATTGAAAATTTGATTATGTAGTATATATGCTGTGAATTAGTGGGACTTTGATGTAACAGCGTATCAACATTTGAAGATATTGGTACTTAATACTCTATTAAGGAAAGTTAGCCTCTACATTTTAAGCTGGAAAGTCACAGGAATAACTGTTTAGAAAAGAATGACAACTACGTGACTTTACATTTTTGGTACGTATGCTAAGAATTGTGTACAAATTGATATGTACACAATATCAATAAATACAAATTGATATGTCTGTGTAACGTATGCTAAGAATTGTGTACAAATTGATATGTCTGTGTACTGATCCTCAAGACAAACAAAATCTCAATTAGGAAAGAAAAAAAATAAAAACAGTATAAAATAAGTCAGTTTCTTTTTTGTTGGTAGCCATGGAAACTAATCTCCAATATTTCAGTGACTGCATGATACTAAGAACTACAACATTCTTCAAGGGCATCTATTAATTTGCTTCACATTAAAAAACAATAAAACTAGGCTGACCTTCAAATTCAACCTGTAGATTTTCTATTATAAGTCCCATTGGTTTCAGACTATGTGGGGCCAGTTGAATAGGAGAGACCCATGGGGGAAGACTGCTGGTTGGAGGGAAATTGGGAGGCTTGTTTTCTCAAGTCTCTCAGAGGCCTGTTCATTTCCTGTTTCCTACCACTTAGGTCTCCTTCCAGTGGTGCGTCTGCACGTCAGTGTGGAACTGTGTCTTACGTCTGAAATGTTTCTTATGTCTGACCTTCCTGACCTTTAAAAGGCTTCTGTCTCCATCCCAGAGTCCCCAAGGAACCTGCCTGCGAGGACACATTCACTCTGAATGGTCACGGTTAGGCTGATCTAGTTGCCTAATATGGTTTCTGAAAAGCTTAGGGGATCTTATGCCAATTAAATTTCACCAGAAGTTTCTCCAAATCTAACTGCACAGCATTGCCAGCTTCTCTTCTTGTTCCCCCCGAAACAATTGATATAACCCTTTCCTGTCAATGCAGTTTGTTTGCAGAACTGTCTAGGTAAGGATTACTGCGAGGCTTCCAATGACAGTTGCAGGGAACTTGGTCCCAGGTGACGTCATCTACCAACTGAGTCTCAAATGGGGGTTCAGGACATGGTTGTGGAGCAGAGCACCTGCCAGCACAAGCCTGCATTGGCGATTTAAAGCCACAAGGAATATAGTCAATAATATTGTATGATGTCAGATGGGTATCACACTTATTGGGGGATCACTTCATAAGGTACATAAATGTTGCCCTAGCTGGTTTGGCTAAGTGGATAGAGCGTCGGCCGGAGGACTGAGGGGTCCCGGGTTCGATTTCGGTCAAGGGCACATGCCTGGGTTGTGAGCTCCATCCCCAGTAGGGGGCATGCAGGAGGCAGCCAATCAATGACTCCCTTTTATCACTGATGTTTCTCTCTCTCTCTCTCCCTCTCTGAAATTAATAAAAAAATATTTTTAAAAAAGGTACATAAATGTCTAATCACTGTTACTCTGAAATCAATAAAAAAATATTTTTTAAAAAGGTACATAAGTGTCTAATCACTGTTATATGCCTGAAATAATATAATATTGTATGTTAACTATAACTAAGAGATAAATTTAAAAAATAATCTAAAAAGACAAGGTAAAGCCACTCCCTGATGAAGTCAGGACAGGGCAGGGGTGAGGGGATCAGCCATTCAGAAGGTGGCAGAGGTGCTGGCGGCAGGCAGAAGGCAGAAACCACCAGAGGAAGGAGTGCACCTGGGCAAAGGACTCCTCTCTCTCTCCCACCACAAGCTGGCGAGGCCACTGGCCCGCCCAGCCCATCATCCTGAGCTTGCGCGTACTTGGGTGTGTGAAGCACCTTGATTTTCTCCTCACCTTCCACATTTGCAATCTGGCGGAGATAAAGAGACCTTATTTTTTCTTTAATTTGCGAATCCTAGCTGTTATTTTAGGAGGTCCACATGTCCCTTCCACTCCCAGGTGGTATTATAAAATAGGCAGTTCTGGATTTGGAGAGGCAAGGGTCTGACTAAGATGCGAAGAACTTTTTTGGAAGCGTATTGAAATCTCTGTATTCTTCTGGGACAGACGTTCTCAATCGCGTGGTCACAGTTTTACGACATGGTATAATTCTTTACTTGATTCAGCATGGTTTTATTCCCTTCAAAAAAATCCATCTGATGGAAGCCTGTTCCCTTAGGTCTGGTTCTCCCGGAAGTGGACTCTGAGTCAGGGATTCAAGTACAAGCAATTTATTGAGGAAAGGCTCATAGGTGGCACCAATAGGTGAATGAATGGAAAGACAGCATCGGCCTGGAGCTCCAAAGAGTAAATTATGCCACAGAGCATGCCTTCCTTTGAGACAAGGAAGCTGGGCTTTTTGAACTCCCAAACCAGCCCATCACCGGCCTCAGGCCAAAGGGAAAGGTAGGAGGGCATGTGGCCACGGGGGCTGTAAAATTCCCCGGCACCGATGGCTCTCTATTTGGGCTGACCAGCCTCTAATACTTGGTCACAGATGCCAGCTGTTGGCTGCAGAGCACTTAGCTGGGGGCGGGGCACACAGCTGGCAAGACAGACCGGAGGGGACCTGGGTGGTGCACTGACAGTGGCCTGCTCTCACCACCAGGCACCAGTTATGGGTCTCCCATCACATTCTGCTGCAAGAGGAAACGAACAATGTCTTTGGAAAGTCCTGGGGTCGGCTTTTCGTCATCCAGAGACTGGCTTCCTTCTCCCAGCGGGTAGAATTGGGCGTCCCTGGAATACCTCTGTAACAAGGAGCAGCCATCCCGGTTAAAAATGACGCGGGCCATTTGAAAACTGCGGAGGGCATACTTCTGGCTCTCCTGGCCCTGCAGTTCGTCGATTTTCTGAGACAGGCACTGGCAGACAGATGCAGAGAGTGGGTTTCGCGAGGCTGGTGGTGGGTGGCCAAACATCTCATAGAGTCTATCCAGGGATTTCCGAAGTTCCTCATCCTCTGCCTTGGTCTCTGGTTGGCCATTCACAGAAGGGTCGAGCCAGAAGTTCTCAGAGGCCCAGGAGTCACGTTGTGTAGTATTTAGGTGACCGCTGTCTGTAAGACAAACACATCCCAATACTCAAACACATACTCAAAAATATCAGAAAGCTGGCCCAAAGCAGGTGATGTCTCTTGCTAATGCAACACACTTACTGCTCCTGGGTAATGGGCAATGGGCAGAATCAGATGATTTCTGAATCTGTTCCCACCGTCCTGGGGGTATGCCACTTGTTTGCCCCAAACAAGAACATGTTTCAGGGGTTCCTAACCTGAGGTCCTTGTAAAGAAGTTCAGAGTGGCTGTGAACTTGGATGGGAAAAATATCATATCTTAATTTTCACTAACCTCTACCTAAAATCACGCATTTCCTTCCATGATGAATGTAGGCAATAAACCCATTAGCAGCAATACGTGTGACTTTATCACCAGTAGATCACAGCTATTTTCATATCACATTATAGTTTATTGAACATGTTTTGAAATATCACATATGCCCATCACTACGCTATGGACTGAACTGTGTTTCTCCAAAATTCATATGTTAGAGTCCTAATCCTTAAAGGAATTGGGCCTTTTAAGAGGTTACTAAGATTAAATGAGGTCATAAAGGTGGGGCCTCAATCAGATAAGATTGGTGGCCTTCTAAGAAGAGGAAGACCTCTCTCATTTTTCTTTCTCTCCCCCCCTCATTATGTGAAGGAACTGAGGAAAGGCCATTGAGGATACAACAAGAAGGAGGCCTTCTCCAAGCCAGGGAGAGAGTCCTCACCGCACCTGACCATGCTGATTCCCTGCCTCGGACTTCCAGTGTCCAGAACTGTGAGAAAATAATTTATTTTGTTTAAGCCATTCAGTTTATGGTATTTTGTTATGGCAGCCCAAGTAGACTAAGACAACCACTATGAAATCACCACAGTTATTGGTCCTGATGCTAGATCTTATTATTTAAACATTAGTTTAAAAAACATATATTCATTACAATATCACACATTTTGTTCTTTATGTATTTTAATAGCTACGTTTTAGTGTTTTCCCTTGGTAAGCCTGTATGTTTTACTTCATGCAGTTAAAAACTTTATTCTGCATTCATGAGCTCCACCAGATGCCAGAGGGATGCACTGCACAGACACAGTGCAGACCCCCAATGCAGACAGTTCTGGGCATTTACACAGCTCAGATATTTCTTTCTTTACTCCCTACATAATCCTATAGACGCTTTATCTCTAAATTAAAACCACCTTTTTGTTTTTTAAAGGAAGAGTAACAAATAAACTAAGAGATTTAATAATAGACAGTAAGAAACCAGAATTGGAGCCAAATCCTAGTAATTGACCTAACTTTCTGTACCTCTCTGGGCACCCTAATTCTTAACATAGGAATCTCTTAAGTCTTTTGAAACAAAGAACTTTCATATCATTTTTTTCTAGAAAAAATTTTGCACAAATAATTTGTAAGTGGCTGAATTCCTTATACAGCCATCAGCTTTATGCTTTAAACTGTTATACTTTAAATCAAAATAATATATTTTCCCTTTTTTGCTCTAATATATGCTGTAATTAATTACTAGCTTTAATTCTATACACCCACTCCCCATCCACTTACTCAATTAGTAGTTATAATAAAAATATCGGTATCCTGGCCGCTGTGGCTCAGGTAGAGTGTTGGCCCACACACCAAAGGGTCTTGGGTTCGATTCCCAGTCAAGGCCACGTGCTTGGGTTGCAGGTTCAATCGCTCAGCCCCTGTTGTCCTGCCTTATGGCCCCCAGACCGATCATCTGTGGGGAAGCAGATGGGTAGGGACCCCTCACCCTGCCACTGCAGGACCCTTCGCCCCTTCCCTTGGCTAACAGCAGTACCATTTGTTAGGCAAATACTATTTGCCAAGCCCTGAGCTAAGTCTTTTGTTTGTTTGTTTTAATAATAAAGTAGGCCACCGAAAGAAGTTTTACAATTACTCTCCAGAGGTTTGTTTTAATTTTTTTCTTGAAATGATCTCAAACTCATAGAAAACTTGCAAGTACAATACAAACAACTATTTCTCATTAATTATTTGCCAACCTGATGCCCACCCTGATTTTCCTACCAGCAAGGACATTCTTCCACATAACCCCAACGCAACCATCAAAATCAGGAAATTAACAGGGACAACATTACTGCCATCTAATCCTAGCCCCCATCAAGCGGTCCTGATCATGTTCTCTGTAGCAAAAAGGTCTGGTTGAAAATCATGTGTTGTGTTTAGTTGTCAGTGGGAAGAACGAAGAGAGAAGGAGATGATCCATAGTGACACTGGGGAAGTTGGAGAGTTCCTGAAACTGCCCACCCGAGGCAGCATCTATCCAGAACATTCCAAGGAGCACAGCATGTACTTATTAACTGGTCAACAGCTTTGATATGCAGGATTTTAAGTTTTCATCGGAGCTTCATTATTATACTTAATTTTTGAAATTAGGTGTCCAAAAAATTAGCCTGTTTTCTCTATTTTTCTTGCAAATGTCAAGCAGACTGCAATTCATCTTCAAAGACACCCCAGCTCCCCCCAATCTCTTTCCAAAGAGCAATAACAATATGGGTTGAATCAGTCACTGCTTCAGTCAGTTCTTTTGAACCTGCCTCCAGCTCATTTCAGTCTTTGATTTCCTTTTAAAATTTGCATTACTGCCAACTACAAAGCCATCTCTTTAATCATGTGTCTGGTGTGGCCTTTTGGACATCACTGTTTCTTCACCAGCAACTAAAGCTAATTGCTTCTCTTTTCCTAATGCACTAAATGTAGACAGAAGGATGGATCTTTGATAACTTGGTCAGTTGCTGCTCAATGTTGCATTCTCACAGCTATGTTCAAGCCCCACCATATTCTACCTGTTGCTATAGCCCTGACTTATAGGGCTCTCAACTTGGGACTATAATGTGTCCTCGAGGGAAAGACTGGGGATGTTTTTGTGCCAGTGATTGGAAAATGCTACTTGCATTTAGTGATGGGGTCAAGGATATAAATATCCTACTTGTTAGAATAGTGATTTTCAACTGGCATGCTAGGAGAATTGTTAAAACATGCAATACCAGCCCGAACCGGTTTGGCTCAGTGGATAGAGCATCGGCCTGTGGACTCAAGGATCCCAGGTTCGATTCCGGTCAAGGGCATGTACCTTGGTTGCAGGCACATCCCCAGGAAGGGGTGTGCAGGAGGCAGCTGATCGATGTTTCTCTCTCATTGATGTTTCAAACTCTCTATCCCTCTCCCTTCTTCTCTGTACAAAAAGATCAAACTTAAAATATATTAAACAAACAAACAAACAAACAAATAAACAAAAAAACATGCAATACCTGACTATTTAGTCAGGAGCACTGACCTCTTTCCCCTGAGATTGTCAAATATAAAAATGACAACAGTCAACACAGCAATAGTTGACTGGTGTGAATGAATCAAAATTATGCCATTTTTTGGTCAGATTGGCAAAAAATATATTTCTTGGTGTGCTGCAGAATTTCAGTTATTAGTTTATGTGTGCCACGGGATGAAAAAGGTTGAAAATCACTGATGTAGAGGATAATTCCATAAACCAAGAACCATAATGTCCCCAAATTCCAGTAGTGCCCCTTACTCTCTCAGGAACTCTGGCTCAAGGATGGATTGTGGAAGGAATGGGAAGTGAAGGCTGAATCCTACTGCATCGCAATATATTGATTCGCCCTGCGCTCGCCTTTGCTGTTGATTCTTGCACAATGGATTTCTTGCTGGTACCCATGCGCATTATGCATTACTGCCTTCTCAGACCTTGAGTTTTTTGTGTTGTTTTTTTCGATAGCAAGGGCCTAACCACCAATCCTAATTCTGGCATTACTTAAGTTGGACGGACCTTCCCTTTTCATTTCAATAGGCTTTCAATTACAAATAAAGTTTCTTTAGGAATTAATAAGAAGAAAAGGAGGACAGGGCTTTCTATGACAATGCTTTTGCATGCACTGTGTTAAGGCCACCTATCTACCAGAACATCTGTTTCTTAACCCTTCTTTTTTGTAATCCTCACCCAAGGACATGCTTTTATTGATTTTAGAGAGATAGTAGGGGAGAGGGAGAGGGAGAGAGAGAGAAACATCGACGTGAGAGTGAAACATTGATTGGCTGCCTCCTGCACGTGCTCCTACTGGGGACTGAACCAGCACCCTTCAGTGTATGTCAAACCCGAGGCCTGTAGGCTGCATGTGGCCCACAATAAATATTTTTGTGGCCCAGCCAATATAACGGTATGTGAGAAATGTTGTAATAAAAATCTCATAACTTAACTTTTACAATATCCTGTTATACGTAATTATTAATAATGAACTACAACGTTCGCTAATGACTGATTACTATAATCGTGTTGCATTCATTTCCCTTAGGCATCTTAAGCGCAGGCACACCATTTATTTCCACTAATACAAGCAGCTAACATTTTAGCAGCCAATTGCCATGTCATTAGTCTAGGACTGGCTTGTTTGGTGTGCGCAACAGGAAATATTTTGCTTTCAGAGAACAAGAAAAATAAGTTTATTTGTGTTATTGGGACTCTTCAGTCCACAGGCCTACGCTCTATCTATTGAGCCAAACCAGATAGGGCTAAAATGTTCTATGTTAACGATTACTCAGCCCTTTGCATTCAGCATGTCTCTATCGAAATAAATCTATGTTTCTATGAGAACTGAAGCTTTTGTTTTTTTGTGGCCCACATCATCTTAAACCTTGTTTATTTGGCCCGTGTTAGCCTTTGTGTACAGGACAACACTCCAACCAACTGAGCCACCTTGGCCAGGGCTGTTAACTTTTCTTTTGGCCAAAGAGAGAAAACATACAGATATTTGAGATTCTTATAGACCTATTTTTCTATCTTTAGGAGTTACAGATGCTAATTTGAGTTCAGTAATCTGAGACAACCAATTAGCATGGAGCATTTGAGATTAATGGTTGTGTTCTACGAGAGGCGCCATTAGCTTTTAGAAACCCAAGTGGTTAACAGGGGTTTTTTCCAGAGAATCTTCCTGGCTATTTCTGTGGCTGATACACACAGCAGG